GAAGACTTGGAATCTGGGGTGGTTGTATCCCACCGGGATTGGGAGCTCTGTGCAGTTCCCAGGCGATCTGAAGGCACTCATGCAGAACACACAAAGGCACTTGTAAGTGCACACACACACACACACACACACACACATATTTATGAAACTGACTTTAGACGAGAGAATCTCATTGGAGTAAAAACAAATGCTAATGCAGAGGTTATGCAGTTAAATTTCTGGACTCCTTTGTTGATGTTATTTTCTTGTCTTAAGGGAAGAGAATGATCACAGACCATATGTAACTTTAACTAATACAGCCTGCTAATTAAAATTATAATTGCAATCTCATTCATTCTGCGATTTATAATTTGTAAGTGAATTAATAGCATTTTTAATTAAACTTATTTAAATTATCACAATTATTAAATATAAGTAAATTTGAACTCCTCAACTTTATTATCTTTACCCACTCATTCACCAAACACACATTGGCTCTATTTACATAACACACTTCTTTTACTGCCTATAAATGCCACTCATCCTTAAGATTTCCATGTTTTCCTGCCCTGTGTAGAAATTCTAAAGTTAGGCTCAATGTCAGTTGAACTATTGCCTCTTTTATTTCAAATAACAATATTTCACAAGTTAGGAAATTGGAAAGAGCAGCCATCTTGAATAGTTATAGTAGTATCAGATACTCATATTAATTACCCATTGAAACATACTATTTCTTCACATGGTGTAAATCTCAATATTGAATAAAATGATCCATATTTAATCATCTGAGCCCTGATTTTTCTTTTGCTGAAGATTATATAAATCAAGAGTTATATTTTGTATATCATTTTATCACACTCCCTTTACCCACCCAACTTTTCAGATCTTAAATTTATTTAAAGATTATGACTAGAATTCCCAAAATCATTTAGAATATACATATGTGATTTAACATGGGAACATGGGTTGTCATGCCCATCTGCTGTGTAAAATCTAAAAACTTCTGTCAAAGCTTAATATGTCATGAGCTAGAATTAGCATTCTAATGCATAGTGGTCAGAGTGTATGAAGAGGATCACAAGCCAGGCACAGCGTGATCACCTTCAGTCCCAGGTACCAGCTGCCTAAATTGGGAGAATTGCATGTTTAAAGCTTTTGAGACACATGGTGAATTCATGACCAGACTGAGCTCTGTAGCAAGACAATGTCCCAAAATGAAAACAATAAAAAAACATCTTAACACTGAACAACTTTGTGGTGGAAACCCAGCTAAATTCTCTGAGTGTTCTTGTTGAATAGTCCCAGTATGTCCTGTGAGATGAGTATATTTTGATCACCAAATTATGACTGAGGGATTTAGGTGTGGAGATGAAACAATGGGTAGTTGATAAATATTGTCCGTATGTCAGAAGAAAATTGTTTACTGATGTAATAATGTTTACAGTTACATGAATAATTGTGTCTTTGACTTAGTCTTATATAAATTCTTAAAAATCCCCATTTCTACAGATCACCTATGCATTATGCTTGTGCATATGGCCATCCTGATATAGTGACCATCCTACTACGCAGGAATTGCGACATTGAACTCTGTGACAGTTACAAAAGCACAGCACTACTTAAGGTAAATAGTAGCCAACAGTTTCAGTATGACATGGATTTGCTGTAAATGCTGAAAAAAACATGATTTTTCTCAACTAAATGCAAATATTTAGTGAAATCCATGGAATTCTCATCTTGAGTTTCTTATCTTTCCAATGTATTACTTGATGTAATACTCACAGGCTTCACAGAATGGCTATGAAGAATCTCTGACAATTTTATTAGAACATGGTGCCAATGCAAAAGCAATTGACAACAGTGGGAGCACAGCTCTGCACTATGCTGTTTATTATATAGAGAACATCTCAATGGTATCAAAACTACTGGAATACCAGCAAAAAGAACAAGGTAGAGACCACACAGCTTTAGTTTCCAAACTATTTGGACTGGGTTTGCTTTACCAAGACGTATTTGCATATACATAATTTGATTCACCAAATCTAATAAGGCCTGCACATGGATATTTAAAAATATTTCATTGAAATTCTGATACAACTGTGACATTAGAATCTCTGTAAAGGTAAGTTTAATATATGAATTCTCAAATTTCAGGAAGCTAAAACATCTCTAGAAGATTAGGGTTTGATGGGACCTCGTTCCTTCCCAATGATATTCCACACTTTCCTTTGATTACATGATTGCTTCTGTGATGAATGTTATAAAGAGAATTGCTGGCAATATTACTCTGGAAGTTGTAAATATATAACCACAGAGTTCATAAAATACTGACGGGAACCTTCTGGCTTGTTTGTTTTTTGGTTTATGAGACAGGATCTCATATAGTCAAGGTTGGCCTTGAACGTTTTATGTAGATGAGGATGGCACTGGTCTTCCTACCTTCATCTCTAAAATGCTGGGCTTATGGCCATTCTCCCTCATGCCTCTCTGTGTGTTTGTGCAGCTCTGGTTGTCCTGGAATTCTGTCTCAGCCTTCCAAATGCTGAGGCTAATGGCATTCTCTCTCACATCCAGTTAGTTTAGTGTTTTCTCATTGTGCTAAAATGACCCACATGGATGATTATCAGATTTTGTACTGATAAAATTTATATTTCATTTCTCATTTGTATTTTGCCTAAAAGTAAAAATAACTTTAAGTAGTAACTAAAAAGGAAGTGACCTAAAAATAAATTTTAAATAGATGTGTGTCAGATGTGTATAAGAGATCTTACGAATGAGATATTACTCTTCTTATGATGGGAAAAATTCCCATGGACCTTTTGCTAAAAAGCTACCAAAGTTCCTTTGCATCCCATGCCATCTAATTTACAACCTTGTCCTAAGTGATCCATTTGGAGCAGAGTGTCTGCTGTGGTTTCCTGTTACTGTAAATAGAAAGAGTCTAATTAGCATTTCCACTGCCTGGTAGAAATGTAGTTGTTTCTGGAATTCTGTCAAGGCCAGGACACTGAATGTTTGCCACAAAAGCAGATATAAAGACTACACATATGTCTCCATATTTCATGCTGGACCTGTCCTGCTCAAGTTTATCTTACAGATGAACATGATATTTATGTGAGGAATGGCATTTCTGGGAAAATAAATATTCTTTTGGAATACTATTTACTGTTTTGTGCATTAGACATAAAAGACACAGCCCATCCTCAAGAAGCTTTAGTTTAGCTAGGAGCAATCACATCCTCCATAATTCCATGGTGAATGGCAAGTTGGACGCAATGCTCAGAGAGCTAGCTCACGCTTGAATGAGTGTTGTGAGCAAGAACTGGTGTTCATGTGCAGCTCCAGGCACGCAGAGGCTTTTCCAAGGGCAGAGCAGCAGGTGGAAAAGCAATGTGGTGTGGGAAGGCCCAGGCAGTGGTTCACAGAGCCATCAGCAAACGCTAAGCTCCACTGTGTCTTCCATCTGATTTCTTCGTGAGAACTACAAAGTCCTGAGAATCATGAATTGTTGTTTCTGTCACCAATAGAAGGGCATTTGACCCCTTACACTGACTTAACAGGGAAAAATCAGAGCCTGATAAAATTGGTAGCAAGCAAGGACACAATAAAAAGGACAGAAGAAGCTGATGAACCAGACAGGTAAGGTTAATACTTTTATATATTTTTCTTCGTGGCATTCTATGGTGGGTACAATCACTCAAGCCCAAACCATTAAGTAGGTATGAAGAACAATTAGACATTCTTAGTAGGATGCCAAGACATACTTTCAACTATATAGAGAGGAAATTATCCAGACTGAGCAACACTAAAACGAGCATAGCAGTGTAACATGGAAAATGAATGAACTCATAGACAGATATTGTGGTTCAAACCTCAAACTGAAGAGAGAAAAGCAAAGCAGTCAGCCACTAGCCTCAAACTGAAGCTCAGGCTGAAAGGGATGATCAATGATGGAGCTCTTCACCAAGTCTCAAACTGCTTCTCTAATCAGTTTGGCTGGAGAATGAATGCCTGATCTGAGCCTTATCTTCAGTGTGGCCAGTGAATCAACCACTCCTAGTGAATACAGAAAACCCTCCTGTCTTTTATACCGCTCTAGTGCTGGGATTAAACGCATGTGATCTGTGACTTTTCCAGACTGATTCAATCTCATGTATCATCAGTGGTCTTGAACTCAGAGAGATTGGTCTACCTCTTAATCCTTGTCCTAGGTTTAAATGTGTGTACCACTACATCCTAGCTTCTGCCTTCTAGGGTTAAAGATGTGTGCATTGCTGCTGTATCCTCCAGCAGGTAGAACTGGGGAAGGGCTAGTCAGTCTCTTCCCAGGGCTGAGCAGGATGGTGAGTGCCAATGACTCAGAACCCCTCACCCCAACTAGTTACAGGGGAGAAAATACACACTGCCTCTGAAGCTTGTTGAAGCAGCATCTAGATTTATGCCAACATGCAGGAACTTATATAGGGTTGAGGTATGGTTTGGGAATCTTAGGATAGAGTAAGGTGATACTGTGAGGAGTAAGGGCCAATAATATTCCACGAAGCTGGGAGGTAGCTAGGCAGGGGGCAGTCATACATCATGCCTTGATGAGTTACCCCAACATGGAGGTTATAGACCAGAGACAGGCCGCCAAACTCGAGCCAGGCTCAGGAGGTTAGACTGGGCCTCACATCCAAGCCTTTTTAGGCCCAACACTTGGCTGCTACGAATTCTGGCCGACTTTGCTTTCTGAACCCTCAGGCAAGTTTTAATAAATCATAAATAATATATCACTCATTTTTCTCTAATACAAAATGAAGCTACAACTGACATAAGAAAAATTATACACATTAAGTATATACAATACATGCAACAAGTTCATCCACAATGTCTAGTCCTTTTGCATTTGATAAATACAGAGAAAATATCTTAATCCATTTGCATTTGACAAATTCATAAAATACTTCATTATTCTATCTTGGTGACTTCAAAGTCTTGATCGTAATTAATATTATATTCTAATTTGTATTATCAAATTATATTTTAATGTGTCTCAGACTTTTATACTTTACACATCTTTAGTGAATTTCTTTTCTGAGTCTGGAAAACAAAAAAAACTATAACTATCTAGTCTTCAACTCCCTGAGAGGCCCTAGAAGGAAATAATATTAACTGAGAAAGCTTGAACTGGTAGCAATAGACTTCCAAAAAATGTGAGAAATAACAGAAACAGCTGGCTACCTGGACAGTCACCCAAGTTGCTTCTGCAATTTAGGGGCATGTATCATCTGCCTATAAGTCTCTGGCAGACTTTTCTGTGAAGCAGGATTCCCTTAAGAGCTATCCTGCCTTGCCTTGGCAAGGTTTTATAGTCAATCTTTTTTGTGTCCTGTTTGTCCAGCTTGGACAGCACTTTGTCAGCAGTTGGGGAAACTGCACGTTCTTGTCCAGTGGCTTACGTTTACCAAAAAGAAAGTAAACTCCATGTGAGTTTCTTGGATGTTCGTCATCTTCTCTTAAGTAGATTAATGCTTCCAGGAGCAAACATATTTCATTGTCATGAAAAGAGCCTATGTTGGGCCAGGATTTCCAGTGCCTTGTAGGAACCACTTGAGACCTGGAGACTGCACACTGAGGATCCCATCCTGGCAGGATCCACCCCACCCAGAGACTGCCAGCATCCTAGTCACATTCTCTTACGGCGGGACTAGGTAAGCCTGGACTTGTGTCAGTCCCAAATTCAGTGCTTTGCTTGGAGTCAGCTGAGGCCTGGGGATTATGTACTGCAGATCCCATCCCCATGGGTTCCAGCCCACCCTGAGATTTCCAAGGCCTCAGAACTAACACTGCCTCTATCCACAAGTAGAGGAGAGCCACCACAATGTTTCTGTTTTATTATTGGCACATCAAGACCCAGAGTTGTGAGAAGTTTGTCTTTTAAAGAGTTACAAAATAGATCAACTGTGATTTGTTTATTAAAATAAACATGTATTTCAACACTCAGGAAGCTATGTTGATTTGTTTTAAGTGTCTGTTTGTCACAACATACAGTCACCTGTGACCAGAAAAAACCTGAGGAATTACATAAGTCAGGTCTGCCTGTGGGAATGTCTGTGGGGTATAACCTTGTTAACTGATATAGAAAGACACGTTATAGGTGGCACTATTCCCTATGCTGGGACTTGAGTTATGTGAGATCAATGATAGATAGCAGTGAACGAACAGGTTGCAATTGTTTCACTCTGTTCTTGACTTGAGGATATGGTGTGACCAGATCCTGCTCCTGACTTCTCTGCTATGAATTATAACCTACAATTGCCAGCCAAATAAACACTTTGCTTACCCTGACAAAAGAAATGAAACTATGAAAATAGTTAAGTGACCTTTAAGAAGTTTCATGGCAAGTAACTGATGACTGTTGCGGATGAAATACTAAACTTACCAGAAATATAAATATGGCAATGGCCAGTAAGAATGACACATAGCACTGCGCAATTCTCCAAGAGAGACTAATGATGTCATAGAGATATGCAAATTAGATTCTCCAATGGTTGTTATTTGTACATGGACTTACATTAATTATTCAGAGTTTATCAAGCACAATGAGAGGTGACATATGAGACCTTGCTGTCCAAAATTTTCCAAAGTGAAAATACACACCACTTTTATAAAGCTCATAGTTATTTTCTCATTTCTATGTTTCACTTTTCTTGACTTCACAGAGCCAAGCTCTTTGCTTTTCTATTCATGTTTTCCTTCTCTCATGACTGCAGTCATTATTAAATATTTTTAAGAAAAATGTTCTTAAAAGAAAGGAAAACTTGGATTAGTGAATGACATTTGTTATCTGATCTTCAGGAATATTCAACTAAAATGGCAGTGTCTAATTATTTCTGTATAATAAAACTGTACGTATATAATAATATGGTTTCATAATAAATCTACAGTTTCTATTAAAAGCTGTATTTACTTAAGTGCTGTGGAATATATAAATACACAGGTACAAATAAGATACAAAAAATTATTATGTGTAAAATATGGGTAAACTTGCTCTTCCCAAGAACTATTTTATTACCACTAAATGTTTATTAATATTTCTGCATGTGTTCATGTCAGAAATTACAGATAAGAAAAAAGGAAGGAGCCATCTTACAAGGATGGCATAGTAGAAGTGAATTTTTGATGGCCAGCTTGAGAAAAATAAAGAAAACAAGTGAGTCTATGGGAAAGACATGATGGAAAACACTGAAGTCACAGTATAGTTTTCAGACATATGAAAATCTCAGAGACATAGAAAGGTTGGGTGGTGCTGATGAGGAAGCAGACTGTGTGGCCACCCTAGGCCAGAAGATAAGACAAAAGCTCCCACAATCCTGAAACCCAGTAGGAAGACCCCCTTTGAAAATGACTCCAGAGAGTGAAGTTAGCACTGGAGGAATCCACCTTAACTCTCTGTACCCTTCATATGGGTACTCAGATCCCATCTCGAAAGGTTGCCTATGAATTCAAAGTGAGTTTCTTTGGGGGACTGAAAGAAGAAATAAGGACAAATGGCTGAGCATTCGGTGCCTGGGTGAGAAACAATTGTATCAAGCAGTCACAGAAAAGAGGCGGGCTGGACATCAAAGACTGAGAGTCCTAAGTGTCTGGGAACAGTACAATAACTGCCAAGCACAGAGATTGCCACCTTTGGTTATCAAGATGGCCTCATGACAAAGATCAACAAAACTTTGTCTCACAGTCAGAGCCCAGGTTTCACATCTTTACCATAAAGAAATCAGACCAAGCAGGGATGAGTTTGTAGCAGGCTGGCAGTGTGTGTACTAACATGTGAGGAACTCTGGGTCCAGATCCTGACACTACATAAAACTAGATATTGAAGAGCCTAAGTTTAAGGTCATCCTCAGCTACCACACAAATGGTTAGGCCTGAGCTTCGAAAGACCATGCCTAGTATCACATAGGCATTCCCTATGTGGAACGCTGCTTAAGATTATGGAAATAGCATATGTCCTGATGTGGTCAGAATCTCCACAGACCAATTAAAGCAATATTTCTAAAGCTTTCCAAATAGGACCAAAACCGAGAATGACTGTTCCAGGATGGAGACTGCTCAGCTGCTCTGTGAAGTGTCATAACCATGCATTCTTGGGTGTTTGCTTTAGAGATAGCAGATTGGATATCTTTTATTTTAGACTCCATCCAATTTATGATTGCCATTCTTGGATTTTCTTGAACACCCATTTATTTTCTTTCACTGCTCCTTTTCCCTAAAAAGAAAATGGTGTGGTGTGTTATTTAAAATCGGAATCCAATGACCTATTCTGAGTTGGATATTCTAGTTTTGCATCAGTAGCACAAAGAACAAATTAAGTGCATGAAAATTAAGTGTGCTGCGGGAATGAATATGTGAAGTCAGTAATAACTGTTACAGGGCTCATATTTAGAGGCTGGAGATATGGCTGAGTGGTTAAGATCACTTTCTGCTGTTCTAGAGGACCACGTTTGGTTTCCTGGTTGACTGCTAACATCTCCCTGTAACTCTGATTCCAATGGATACAACGCCCTCTTCTGTCCTCAGTGGGTACAATCCTTCACATGCAGTCACATACCCACATCCAGTCACACACATAATATTTGAAAGTAAATTAACAATATCATATAAACAATTTAGATCCATGCTGTGGTTTGGAAGCAGGTCCTGGCACATGTTAGGCAAGTTCTATACCATTCCACATCCTCAGCTTTGATTTACACTTGTGTTAGTATTTGTATAATATGATATTACAGAAAACAATAAGGAGTTGGAGAATTTTAATGGTGAACAGTGAAAGTTAAGAACAAGGCATGACAATAAAAGAACTTCTGAAAGTATTACCATCCCTCATTTCAAGTTCTACTACAGAGCTATAGTAACAAAAA